TGTCCCCAGCCCACCACTGGGGCCACAGTCAGAATGGTGTGTACCTTATGTTCCCCTCTCCCAGGGGCAAGACTCACTGTGGAGTGGTGTGGCCCCTGTGTGGGCTGCTTGCACACTGACAGGCTTGTGGTGCTGCTTCGGTGGGATCTGGCCAAGGGCATATTAGACGGGGTGGATCTGCAAGGTGCTCGGGTGGGAGGGGCAGGCTTAGCTCGCTTTGCTGTCTGTGGTCCCCTTGGGAGGGTCCCTGCAGCACCGGGGGTGGGGGGTGGGGAAACAGGCCTGTGGGAGGGATGGATCCACAGAAGCAAAGCATTGGGTGTTTGCGTGGTGCAAGCAAGTTCAGTGATGAGAACTGGTTCTCTTTGGAATTTCTGCTGGGGGATGGAAGAGGGAAATGGCTCTTGCCAGTACCTTTGTTCCCCTGCTGAGCTCTGTCCTTCCAGGGCTCAACAACTCTCCCTCCTGGTGTCCTCTCGCCCTCCCACCCTCCGAGAGCAGAGCTGTTGACTTTTAACATTCTAGATGTTAAGTCCCGCTGGCTGTCAGAACTCATGGAGTCTGCCCCCTCTGCTTTTGCAAGCCAGACTTCGGTGGCTCTGCCTTGCCGGGTGGGCTGCCCCTCCACTGCCCCGGCTTCCTCCTGCCAGTCCTTGTAGCACGCACTGCCTCTTCACCCTTCCTACCCTCTTCTGTGGGCCTCTTGTCTATGCTTGGCTCTGGAGAGTTCGTTCTGCTAGTCTTGCAGCGGTTTTCTGGGTTATTTAAGTGGATGTTGGTGGAATCTAAGCAATCAGCAGGAGGTTATCACAGTGTCCTTCTACGCCACCATCGTCCTCTCTGTTCGACAGAGTATCTGGAATTAACATTTCTAGTGGCCTTTATAAAGTTAACTGGTAGCATTAGTTCAATGACAAGATTTTGTGGGAATTATTTTTTGTGCTTTTATCTAAGAGTGTCTGCTTAATGGTTTAATTGAACAGAGTGTTTATATTTTTGATGTGTTGTACGAAGATGTTTTATGAACCACGTGGTTTGTTTTTATTATGAACCTCATGCATTGTACTTTTCTTTATCTTTTCTAGTCAAACCATTTCGTGTGAGAAAACTGCTTGGTCTTCAGGCCAAAATGGTGAGTACCAAAAAGACCTAAAATTGGCCAGTGTATCTGTGCTAGGTACTGAGTTGAGCTTTGGAGATATAAATTGATTGAATCATGATCTTCAGGGAGCTTATTATCTGCTGAGCTTTGAAAACAAAATAAAAAAAATCAGAAATAGATGAGGGTCAAGGAGGAGTGGTAATTCTTAAGAGAAATTTTAAGAGATTAATAGGATTTAACCAGGCCAAGAAGGAAGAGAAGGGCACTCCTGGCGGTGGGAACAACATAAGAAAAGACATATATAGATGTTAAGCAGCAAGACTGTTTAGGAAACTATGTTGTTATGGCTGAAAAATAAGTGTTGGAGAGTAGTCAAAAATGACTACTTTATTAAAGTAAAGTATTAGTTTATTTATTTATGTTTTTGTGGATGTGATCTAGGAAAGCATTCCTTTCTTGACACATAGACTTTAGTATATTCCCTGACCATTATCTCTTATCCTTACAGCTTTCTTGCATTGTTATTTTCACTATACCTGCCTGGTAACAAGTCTGTGAAGTTTTGGGTATAAATCAGTAGGAAGTTGTAGTGCCTGTCTTAACTGCTGAAGCCTGCATGACCTACCAAAAGGCATGCAAGTTTAATGAAAAATACAAACAAATGTGCACATACATGCTTCTCCAGTGTGAGGTTTCCCATTAGTACAATTCAGTGATTGTTCTTGTTTTTACATTTGTTTTTTTAACGTTTATTTATTTTTGAGAGAGAAAGAGACAGAGCATGAGCGGGGTAGGGGCAGAGAGAGAGAGAAAGTGGGAGACACAGACTCCAAACAAGCTCCAGGCTCGGAGCTGTTAGCACAGAGCCCGATGCGGGGCTCAAACTCACAAACCGTGAGATCATGACCTGAACTGAAGTCAGATGTTTAACTGACTGAGCCACCCAGGCACCCTTGATTGTTCTTGTTTAATAGCTTCCTGTTTTCATTGTGTCAGTCCAGTGTCTTCTCTTAGCTCTCTGAATATATTAATGATCATGTTTTTGTCCAAGTTGAATTTTATTTTACAGTAATATAAATTGTGAAAAAGTTATAAAGTTTCTTCATGTTAACAGCAAAGCATTTCAATGGAATAAGAAAATTCTTAGCATAAGTAAGATATTGCTGATTTGGGGGGTGCCTGGGTGACTCAGTCATTTAAACATCCAACCGTTGATTTCAGCTCAGGTCATGATCTCACAGCTTGTGGAATTGAGCCTCAAGTCGGGCTGTGCACTGACAGTATGGAGCCAGCTTGGGATTCTTTCTCTCCCTCTCTCTCTGTCCCTCCCCCCTCACACTCCCTCTCTTTCTCTCAAGATAAATAAACTTAAAAAAGATCTTGCTGATGTATTAATTGAAACAATAGTGTTATGTTCAAGTTTAAAAAATGGTTTAGTACATGATTGTGTAAATTTTTTTTTTATTTTTTCTAATGTTTATTTTTGAGAGAGAGAGACAGAATGTGATTAGGGGAAGGGCAGAGAGACAGAGAGGGAGACACAGAATCTGAAGCAGGCTCCAGGTTCTGAGCTGTCAGCACAGAGCCCAACATGTGGCTTGAACTCATGGACCATGAGATTGTGACCTGAGCTGAAGTTGGATGCTTAACCGACTGAGCCACCCAGGTGCCCCTGATTGTGTAAAAATTTTAAACCCAGACATTAAATATATGGCTTCATTAATAACATTTTATATAGTACATTATTATTCCATTATCCATGCCCATTTATAAAGATTCGTTTATTTTTTATTTTTTTATTATTATTATTATTATTTTTTTTTTTTTTTTCAACGTTTATTTATTTTTGGGACAGAGAGAGACAGAGCATGAACGGGGGAGGGGCAGAGAGAGCGGGAGACACAGAATCGGAAACAGGCTCCAGGCCCTGAGCCATCAGCCCAGAGCCCGACGCGGGGCTCGAACTCCCGGACCGCGAGATCGTGACCTGGCTGAAGTCGGACGCTTAACCGACTGCGCCACCCAGGCGCCCCTATTTTTTATTTTTTTAAATACTTATTTTGAGAGAGACAGAGAGAGAAGGAGAGTGAGAACGTGCATGCTTGTAAGTGGGAGACGGGGAGAGAAAGGGAGAGAGAATCCAAAGAAAGGGAGAGTGAATATCAAGGCTCCATTCTCAGAGAACCTGAGGCAAGGCTCATTCTCACCACCACGAGATCATGACCTAAACCAATATCAAGAGTCAGATGCTCAACCAACTGAGCCACCTAGGCAGCCATATAAAGAGGCATTTAGAATTGTTTTGATTAGCTGAATTTTGATGATTTTGGTCAAGTCCAACAGTATCAAACCAAGAAATCGTGGCTGTGCTTACATGTAGCACAACGTGTATAGCAGTAACAGGCATAATCTGTGTGTTTGAGAAAATATATTGGATATATGGATTTCTGACACCTGCAAAGGCATGTAACCTCTCTATACCCATTCATACCCTATAACTCCTGATCTGTGAAAGAAACAAAATACAGCAACTGTCTTTGTGGTGGCAGGCATGACTGGTGGGAAGTGGTGCAGGCATGTTGTTATCATATATACACCAGGCCCTGTTGAGAACAGTCTTTGGAACAGGGGTGGGGAGTTGGTGAGGATGGTTTCTAGGATTGTACCCTCTGCTAGGCGTGAGCCTATGTGACTTTGGCTGTGATTCTTTTCCTGTTTCCAGCTTGGTCTCTTGTTTCCTCAGAGTTCCTTTCTTTAGTTAATTTGGTGCTTCACAGTAGAGGCTTTTCTCAAATGCCTGGAAAACGTTGTTTGTCCATATTTAATAATAAAGAACTAAAATGGTGATTGGAAACTTTTGCATGTGAGCAGGTCTTGTTCATTGCTGGATCTTGATGTTTCACTGGGGAGCCCCACAGATTGCTGTGTCACTTTTCCCAGAGAGGAATCCTCTTGTTTCCTGCCTAGGGCATATATTAGTCAGGCTTCTCCATAAGCAGAATCAATAGGATGTGTGTATAGATATGTAGAAAGATATTTATTATAAGGAATTGGCTTGCACGATTATGAAGCTAGGAAGCCAATAATCTGCAGGGTGGGCCAGCAGGCTGGAGACCCTGGTGAGCTGATGTCTCAGTTTTAGTCCAAAGACAGTCTCCTGTAGAACCAGAAAGAGCCAGTGTTACAGGTGAAGTCTGAAGGCAGGCTGCTAAGAATTCTCTCTTGCTTGAGGGAGGCTGGTCTTTTTGTTCTTTATAGGCCTTCAACTGATTGAATGAGGTCCACCCACTTTATGGAGGACAATCTACTCAAAGTTTACCAATTTAAAATCTAAAACACCCTCACAGAAACACCCAAAATAATGTTTGACTAAGTATCTGGGCACTCTGGACCAGCCAAGTTGACACATACAGTTAACCATCACAGGTTATCAGCTTGGTTCCTAGCACTCTGGGTTGCAGGCAGTGGAAAGGGGTGAGGAAGGGTCCTGGTACCCTCCCTCAGCTGTGCCTGTTATCTAATTCCAGTTTCATCTTAAGAGAGTAAAATCTTGATGTTTGTTAGTGTGGTGAAGGAATTTGGGGTTCTAATTGCTTCTTAGATTTTCAACCAATCCTCCTGTTTGTTGCCTTTCTTGCACTTCTGCTGCCCCCACTTTTCAGAGGTATCTCGTCCCTCAAATTCATGAGTCCTTTTGAGAGTTCTAAAACATGAATCTGCTGCTTTTGAGCCTTTTTCTGTTACTACCTTAGATTTTGTTTTCTCTGTTTTGCCAAGTTGGTTACTATTTGTCCATTTTTATTCTAGGTTCCAAAATCTTGTTGGGATGTCTCATTTGCTGTTGTATCCTCTCTTGTTTTCTTTGAACTTGTGCTTTATGCCTTTTTCATTCCTTTACTTTTTAATGGGGCTTTGGGAGGACCCAGAGTTAAACATCTATTTTCAATATGTCATATTTAACTGGAATTCTTTTTAAAAAAGAAAAGAGTGTTAACTTTTTAACAACAAAGATATGTTTAGTTAACTAGACAGTACGTTCTAAAGGTCTCTCCTCTACTAAATATTTTCTCTATCAAAAAGCATTCCAACTCAAAGCAAACTCTGATACTAATTGACAGTACAGAGATCAGAAGATATTTTGGTGTAGATAAATTGGATTATTTTGGTTTTGTTATAACAAATTTAATTTCAAGAAGCTGTTACAAAAATAGGAACACTGTATTTCTAAGCCCCAATTTCTGCCTGTCTTATTTTGTACAATATTTGATTCAACAAAATTGTAATATAACAAAACAATTTGGTTATTTCCTTGGAATTCATTAAAAATTTTTTTAAATATTTTTTTGAGAGAGACAGAGACAGAACATGAGCAGGGGAGGGGCAGAGAGATAGAGGGAGATATAGGATTTGAAGCAGGCTCTAGTCTCTGAGCTGTCAGCACAGAGCCTGATGCAGGGCTTGAACTCACGAAATGTGAGATCATGACCTGAGCCAAAGTCAGACGCTTAGCTGACCGAGCCACTCAGGTGCCCCTTCTTGGAATTCATTTTAGTAGTATGCTTTCTCTGGATAGCCAGATGTGTCTACCTGGATAGCCAGGTGTCCAGCAGTAATGACTTCTGTCATTCTAAAATTAATATTTTTGTTAAGACTTGTTTTAGTCGTATCAAGCTGCTTGACTACTGCGTACCTGTTGTTGGATTTCCTAGTTAATTTTCCAGGAATTATGATAACGTATTAATATTTCCTTGCCCTGTTTTCTTAGCTTCCCTTTTTGTCTTCCCACCTTTCTGTCTAAATCAAGAATGAGTCAACTTTGAGTCCTGAGTATGCTACCAGTGAAAGTAAGCCATGCTAGTAAGTATGACTGTAGACCTAAGGCATGGGCATAGAAGACAAGATAAAATATTAAGGAAAAAGTAAAAAAGAAAAGGTCATAAAAGAAGTCCACAGGCTCATGAGGGTAGTTTTATGATAGTTGACTTAAAATGTCTGATTATTTATTCTTTGATTTTTTTATAGCATCTTCCAATAGCCATATCACATAGTAAAATTAGGGTTGGAATATATGTTTAATCTGTTTATTTTATTGTTACTTTTCTTTCTTATACCAAAGAATTGAAAATTGAGAACTCTTATTTCATTTCAGGGAATGCAGCCTCACCTCCAGGCTTTGTTATCGCTGTATAAGTTCTTTGCTCCTACTTTGATTTCTGTATCTTTGCCTGCAAGGAAAAAGGTGAGGGATTAAAGAGTGATAAGTCATATTGAGATCGAAATATTTTTATTTTTTTATTTTTTTTTTATTTTTTTTTTTTAATTTTTTTTTTCAACATTTATTTATTTTTGGACAGAGAGAGACAGAGCATGAACGGGGGAGGGGCAGAGAGAGAGGGAGACACAGAATCGGAAACAGGCTCCAGGCTCCGAGCCATCAGCCCAGAGCCTGACGCGGGGCTCGAACTCCCGGACCGCGAGATCGTGACCTGGCTGAAGTCAGACGCTTAACCGACTGCGCCACCCAGGCGCCCCTGAAATATTTTTATTAAGTTAATTTACAGATTTGAAATGAAATGTTTACAGCATACTGTTTTATTTTTTTCTTAATGTTTATTTATTTTTGAGAGAGAGAAACAGAGTGAAAGCACGGGAGGGGCAGAGAGAGAGGGAGACACAGAATCCTAAGCAGGCTCCAGGCTTTGAGCTGTCAGCACAGAACCCGATGTGGGGCTTGAACCAATGAGCTGTGAGATCATGACCTGAGCTGAAGACAGACACTTAACTGACTGAGCCACCCAGGCACCCCCTACAGCATACCGTTTTAAAATCTAGTATTATGGCATTGTTTCTAGGAAGTTTTCTAAGGGATTGGCATTTTGTTTTAATTCTATTTAATGTATAAAATAGATTCTTGATCAGAAAAGAACCATTTGCATGGCAGAGAAATGTATCATAATTAATACATTTTCAATTAAGAATTTTGTATTTTATATTGCTTCATGTTATGGGTACCTATTTATGTACTTTAATCCAATTTTCTTGTAGATTTATTTTAGGAATTCAGAGAATCTGTGGGAGACAGCTCTACTTGCTGTGAGGCAAAGGATTCAGGGACCCCCTCCTGAACCTGTAAAATTAATGTTAGGTCCAGCTAATGTCCATCCTGTAAAAAGAGTAAGTGTCTAAAACTCCAAATGATTTGTGCAGGTTTCTTTTCTTAAAGCCAAACAGTAACCATTCAGATGATTCAAGAGATTATAGAAATTTAAATACATTTTAATTACCTAGAATTCCGTGTGAACCACATTTAGACTTCATTAACTGAACAACTTAACAACTGCTTTTACATTTAGTTTGTAGTCTGTCTAGTCCATTGATAGATTGTTTTACTGTCTTTCTTCTTTAGAAATGGAATTCTTACTCAGTTATACCCATGTTGAATTCTAGTAGCTGCAGTAAAGAATGTGGGAAAAAAGGGATGGCTCTTTCTGATTATCTCCGTAGTAATGGATCATTTCCACTAGAACAGCTTAAAAGCTTCCCTCAACTCTTAAAGAACATCCATTGCTTAGAGGTATGTGACTGGACCATGTGCTTATCTATATTTTCCATTCAATCTTCACAGCCTTTATTTTTATTGTGTATTTCCTATCTGATGATTTCCTTGTTGCTATGTTCCTTT